TCAATATCTCTTTCTCAATCATGCAATATTTTTATCATCTTTCTATATATAGTTGCCACTGATTATAACGAACCTGTTTATACTGAAAACTCGTTATATCAAACCAAGTGATGCAGAACCAAATTTTTTATAATTAATTGCACTTGATATACTGAAATTATATAGTAAAATACCATATACCACATCTGAACTTATGTTGGCTAAACCAAATATATTAGCCATGTATTTGATATACTGAACAATCACATGACTTAAACTAATATATAAAATTATTATAACGTGAATAATCTTTTTTTTCATCAAAACACAGAACTTTTATTTAAAGAACTTTGATATCATATCAAGAAAAGGGGATATTCTTTCAGTTGCATAAAATCCAAGTCTTCCTAATATAATATTGAACTTACACACCAATATTTATTGGGATAATAATTTTGTTAATAAAGTATAATAATATACAAAGCTATAAATTTTAAATGATGTGATTTTTTAAGTTTTTTATCAAGGTGTAGATAAATTTACGCAAAAATATGGACATTAATAGAAGATTTTTAAGTTAAAATTGTACAAAATTAATGCTTAAAGAAGTAAAATTTAATCTTTCATTTATCTTATTATGCAAGGTAAACATTTAAATGTTAATACTAATATTACTAATATGATCACATGTCTTTAATTTATTGGTAGACTCTATATACCGAACAGTTTAGTATATAGATTGAGCATCATATAACGAACTCATCCTATATCGAATCAAATCTTACAGAATGGAGGGTTCATTATATCCAGTGGCAATTGTATTTCTAATTTATATATAATATTATTTGAAATTAAAATATTTAAAATTATATTTAAGACAGAATATGAATTTTAGATACAAAGTTATCTAAAATTGGAATATCTGAAATTTAATTACAAATAGAATCTAATTTCATATATAAGGTCATTTAAAATTAAGATATTTGAATTAAACTTTAGATAGAATTTGAATTTTAAATATAAAGTTATCTTAAATTGAATATCTGAAATTAAACTTTAAATAGAATCTGAATTTTATATGAATTATATTTTTATAAATTATAATTAAAGTGATATAAAGAATTTATTATCTATATGAGCAAATGATTTTTTTAACTGTTTCTTTTATTTATTTTTTTACTATTCTATTATAATAAAAAAATTAACTATTCCTTTTCTTTATAATTAAAATTTAAAAATATTTATTAAAAAGTTCAACTTAAAAATAGAATAATTATATAAGTAATTCTTAAAAGAAAGGTTCTCTTTTCTATTACTTCCTACTATTATAAAAGAATTTTAAAAAAAAAGTAAATATGTTTAATATGATCTTCAAAGAAAATGATTATTTTTTGCTTTTTCAAGTTGGTTTACTATGATCTGAAGTTTTAAAAAAACATGGAAAAAGATGAAAATTATTAAATAAATTCACTTATTTAATTAATATAAACTTTAAAGTAGTTAAATTCCTTCATAAAAATAAATAGAAATAAAATAAAACTAAAAAAAAAATACAAATAAAAAAAATAAACCTAAAAAATGAAGGTGAAAAAAAGCTTAAAAATCTAAATGAAATAAAATAAATTAAAAAAATAAAATGATATTAAATTGATTTAAAAATCTAATAATTATAAATAAAATAATAAAAGCTTTATATATGTTATTATTAAAGATAGACATCGCAATTCTGCGTCCCACTATTCAGATGATAAATATAAAATCGATATATCTCCAAAAAATCTTTATTTTCGTTTCTTTTTCAATAGATAAACCTTTCCATTCTTTCAAAATTTCAGAATTATGACTTATTTTAACATATAAGATAGTTATTTGACGGAGTAAAATGATTTTGAAACGAAAAAAAGATTATCATACTAATAAAAATTAGCATTAATAAACTCTGGCACCCGGGTCAATTTTAAATTTCAATATTATGTGAACTAAAACATCGAAATTGCGTGGTCTTATCTTCTGATAATTGATTCACTCCAAATTAAGTTCACTGCGAAAAGTTTCTGATTTGAAAAAATTGTTTCGCCCAAAACATTATTATTTTATAAAATTTTGGTAATATATTTTGATTTTATTTTAAAAAGTTCACGATTCCAAAGATATACATAAATTTATTTTTATCACGTGAATCTGGTTATTATTTTTTACCAAAAAAAATAAAAATAATTCAGCAATACAGATGAACATGATAACCAATAGTCTAATTATAATGTACTGGTTATTACCAAAATTATTATTCTCTTGATTTGATGAATTAAAATCAAAAAGGATTTAAGGTAAAATTTTATTAATGATTTATTCATTATCATTAGGCTTTTAGTTCATTTAGAGATATTTAATTAGATAAGCAAGCAATGAAGTTATTTCGTCTTTGGCTTTATAGATAAAAGATGAGGAAATTATATTTTTATTATGTTTACTTTTCTGATGATGAATTCTTGTTAAATGAGTGATGATACAAAATTAACGAAATGTTTTTACCTTTGATAAAATATTAAACGACTCAAAGGTATCGTAGAGCTTGAAAAAAATTAGACATATGAAAGATAAATGGATTTCATCCCACATGATCTGTGGCTTATCAACGATATATGGGACCTTTGCAATAAAAGGGGGGAAACAGCGGAAGAAATCAATTACTTTTATATGCCAAATATGATTTTTAGGTTAAAATATGTTCAGATTTAGCATTAACTCAATTTTTATTTTTTTCCAGCCGTTTCCCTCATTTTTATTGCAAAGGTCCCATATGATCTCTATATGCTTGGGAGCGTGCATTTAGAGAGGGTGCATTTAGATGTAAATTGTACAAAATTTATGGATCTCAACTGTCATTGATAAGGCAAAATCTTCAAAAGAAAGTAGAATTTATGTTAGCGAAGAAATTATTATTATGGAATGATTTAAGAGCTCCGATTTTGAAATTTGACAAGATTAATTAATTAAACATGTTGCAAGAAAAAGGATTCAAGGCATCAATTACACATATCAACAGAAAATCGTTGTGAAGTATTGCAAAAAAACGACAAAATTTATATTTTTTTTAGAATAAAAAGTTAAGATTAATAATGACAATTTAATTACAGATGTTAGGGAAACTTTGTTCAAGATACTTACCACGTTACTGATTTTTAGGACATATCAGATATTTACTTTGTAAAATGAACATTTTCAAGTTCAAAAATTATTGAAAAAAGGACGAAAAGATCTGTGGTAAATTGACATAGCACGATTTTCTAGCAGATATTAATAATATGGAGGGAGATCAATAATTTGCTAATATTACGCTATGGCACGCATTGTCCAGAATTTTCAATTTTGGCGTCTTATTCTATATATTTATGTATTATTTTTTTTTGGTTTTGTTAATTGACGGAAGCATTTTTTGAACATTTTGAAAATATGAAAGGTTTTAGTTTTAATAAGATAGATACGACTTCCTTTATGAATATACTGGGTGCAACTATTTGAAAAAAAAAAGATTTTTTTCTTAAATTCAATCGATAGCTTTAGTAATACTTAAATTCATTAGACCAAAGTTGATAAAATTTAAATTAGTTAAGATTTAGAAATCATTTTCCTTATTTGTATTACATAACTTGAATAATAAGAAAATAAAATAATTTTGTGTGAAATTTCGACTTCAATAATTCGAATGGAATCATAATTAATTTACATCAAAGAATAATGACGTGACTTTAATAGCTTTAATCTAATAATTTTCTTAGCCTTTATTTGTATAAGACCCAAACTAAAAAAGGATATGAATTATATTAAATTAATCATTATTGAATCAGTGATGCGTTTATTCATTCTTTGATTTTAAAAATATGATAGAATTTAAATTTTTTATTTAGAATTTGCGAAAATTTCATCTAGATTTGAATATTTATAAAAATAGTTCATTTTATTATAATTACATATTAAATTTATACTAATACGTTAAATACGTTTGAAATAAGTTTTGTAATTAGGAAATTACCAAAGAATTAAATAAAGACTCAGTTGTTGACAAAATTAGTTAATCTTGTATATCGTCAATTCAATATTGTAATCCTGATATTTTGTATATTAAAGTGTTTGAGATTGTATTTAATTATTAATTTGGATTTTAAATTACTTAAAATATTAAATTCGTGAAAATTATGTAATCGCTTATTCTTGAATTCGCAAGATGGTTGAACATTGAGATAATATTTAAGGGACAACGCTAGTACTTTTAGATAAGGAAATCAATTGAAATTGCAAGAGCGATTTTTTTTGGTTAAATGAAAATAAAAATTGTACAACGAGACCATGTAAGTTTAATTCATTATAATACCATCATGTGGTGTTATTCACATTTTAATAATTAATCAAATTTACTAAAAGTAGTTCACTTTATTTTTTTTTTATTATTTATATTATTTACCAATAAGTCTCGCAATACTAATTATTTAAAAATAAATAAATATTATAAATATTGAATTTTCATATGATACACATACAGTATATATATTGAACACATCAAATGTTTGGAATACTTACCTAATATAGTAATTAATAAACGAAGCCATACACATTCTTTTGTTCATTTTATTTATTATTTAACACCAAAACAAAAAACATCGTTATTTTTTTTTCCATCGTTGTCTTTTAAGAAGCCTTTGGACTTGATATGATTGTTTTGACGTTATCTAATATTATAACTTCTTGTGTATCTCCTTTTATTATGAATCAAGTTCTTTATGCTGAAAACAATAACGATAACATGAGTGGTGATTTTTATCAAAGAAAGTATCAAAATCACCATCACCACCACCGAAGGAAGCATATTCCCATTGAAGGAACCACCCGAACGAAGTAAACAAAATTATATTATATTGTTTCGTTAATATATCAAAGAACAGTATTTAATAATAATAATAATAAACCGTTACGTTCTGGTTCAAAACGTTATATAGAAAGTCTAAACTTCATGAAATCTTGGAATGTGGGAACCTTTGATAGGCGGAATTTTAGAATTGGGTTTGAAATAAAACCTCGTTGAGACTAAAAGATTTACGGGCTTGCTAAGGTTATTCTCGTCATACCGCAGTTTGAAGCAAGCGTTGACCTTAACTTCGAAGATGTTGTTGCAATTATTACTTCAAGAATTGTATGACAGAGTTTTAGTAGAATAATAAGTTACGTCATTAGTTTGCAATTAATGCAATACTTCAATAAGGATGTCATATAAAAAGAATTCCGACGAGTCGATTGCGTGACTAAGAAAATTTCTATAAGGCGATCAAGACTTGACTTGTTAATAAGCTCAGCTCATTCTTCGAAGGCCTTATTTGTATCTCCAAAGATCAAACACATATCGTTCAGGTAAGTGTTGTAATTATATTCCCGACTTTTATGCTTGTTAAGCAATTGACGTATTCATTAAATCTAATTTTGTAGGATTACCTGATTTCTCGCATTCTACTATATACAATATTAACCATCTTATTACGTAATACAATCATCATATAATTAACATCTCAGTATGAGTTAAATTTATTTGCTCTATAGTTTAGAAAAGAAATTCTTGGACTCAACAAAATTCTTTTTATAATCTATTCTATCTCCTTTTCGTCTCACAATTATACAATTGATGAACTTTTGATTAAAACAATTGAACAGTTCTCGTATCCTGGTAAGTTGATCATATCTATCCTGTTCGATTACTTCAATCAACTAACCTTTCATAGTAAATATTTATAATTGTTTAGTTATTTTATTCAGAATATTGGTCAAGAAGGCACACTTATTGGGGGAAATTTCGACATATGACTACATAGCTTATCCAAAATGCGACCATTGAGGAATGTCACCAAGCTCTAACAAAATATATAGATGCTCTTTCTAAGTTCTATAACAAGAAATAGTAGACTTTAGAACTGGAAGCACTTCGTGGCTACAGTTTGCGAAGCTTCCAGTCAGGAAACCAGACCTGGCATATGGAGAGTGGCCTACTGTAAATGTTCTTCTATTGATTCTACAAAATTTGTCTGAAGAGTCGAAATCACTCTGTTAGTGATTACAGGTAGAACCCAAGTGTCCTTCCTGACTTGCCAGCAATCAGATACTTGGACTGAGATAGGGTTTATCTGCAAGGGTGTTGTTACGTGTGTCATTCATCGCTGACGAGCCAAATCTTATCATAATCACTAAGCAGTTACCATCTCAATTAGCCGAATTGCTATTGGTGGCATGGTGCCTTGCAGTGCCATGCCCAGTCTCCCCAGACTTTGACTGTTGGCATGTGCATTTTAGCTGACTCAGAGTTATACTGATTACTTTTTTTTTCTTTTTATCTACATAAAAGTTGCAACCGAGTGAAGCAAGCACGTCAAATCAGTCGTGTGAAGAAGATATTGTAATTGAAGCTGAGGATGACGATTTGGATGAACCAGGTCCGTAAATTTTCACAAGCGAATCCAATAGTGCAATATGACTGTCAATCACTTAGAACAAATAAATCATTATTGCGAGATACTTACAGACTTACAGTCACATGACAACGAAGAGGATTCACAACGCACCCGTCACCCTTTAGAAATGTTGAAGTGGTCCGTAGTCAACTTGGAAATTTTTGATGGTGGTAGACAAAAAATGTTTAATGTTTCAATACCACAGTTGCGCTCAAGATTTTATTTGTACTTTTTGAAGAGCAATCTGATGATGAACTTCGATCAATAGCTAGGATATTGCAATCGCTTAAGAAGAAAGGTTGAATTTATACCAATGATCCAATATTATATTTACAGTTTTCCGTCGGATATTTTGGAATCGTTCACAAAATACTCCTTATTACAGTGATGGCAAATGACCAGGTCATTTGATAATTTTGAAATGACCTCTGAATGACTATCGAATGACCTAGTCATTTGAAGTCATTTGTCATTTGGTCATTTAAATGTAATACAGGCCAAATTCTATATGCTGGCCAGAATTAAAATTTATATCACATGAAATATTTACGAAAACGTTCGAATCATTAAATTACATAAATTATTTTGGCCAGAATGATTGAGATCACATGACATAATTTTTAAATGACCAGGTCATTTGTCATTTAATGTTGAAATGACCCAAATGACACATGACCATTCATTTGAGTCATTTGGGGTCATTTGGGTTACTTGCCATCACTGATATAGAATGGTTGTGAATTATTTAAGGTAACGGAACTAACTATGATGTATTAAACCTTATTTTATGCTCTTGTTAATATATCTAATCTTCATTGTTGAACAGTGCCAATAAGTATATTTTTTAGAAAATTTAGTGAAATATTTATCTTACTTCGCGTATTTTAACAAATGATCATATTAAAATACATCATATTCAAAAAATCCTAAGGATGTTATTAAACACCCATTCATAATAACTATACATACGATGTTATAGTTAGAGATGGAGACAAAAAGCAATCCAGTAGTCAAGGTTGCCATTTGCCTTTAAACGTGGTCCTGACTAGCAGAGGTTAGATTATGCTTAACAGATCTACGTGGCCTAATATTCTGCAATAATTATAAATTGGTGTTTAATCTGAATGTTATGCAATAAATAAGAGGGAAACGGCTGGAAAAAAATAAAAATGAGTTAGTGCTAAACCTGAACGTATTTTAACCTAAAAATCATATTTAGCATATAAAAGTAAAATTGATTTTTTCCGGCAGTTTCCCTCTTTACTATTGCAAAGGTCCCATATGTTTGAAAATAACAATTTAATCGATAGAAGACTGGATGCTCAAGGTAAAAACTTATTTGCTTCATAAGAAAGATAAACCGCATTCATAAACTTTGAGTTTTGTATAACGAATCATCAACATCTCAGGTACTTGAGATTATGCGAATTGTTCTTTTAGGATTGAACTAATATATAATCTTTCATTGATGGAATATTAAGTAGTGTAATTTCAATTTAATTGTAAGTATATTGTAATTCATCTTTTAATTTCAAATTATTTATTATCTAATAAACTTTTTTTACACATTCGTATAATGCCAATTGATGCTTTATTAAAAACAATTTGTCCTATTATTAAAAAACAATAACTTCTAAATTCAGCTTCAAACATTATAAAATTATATTTATATTTATATTTTTATGAATTTACATATTTATATATTTAACAAATAAATATGAAAAACAATACAACAAATTACGTGTATTTTCATAATATTCACAAGTATGATTTTTTATTTATTAAAATAAAGAAAAAGAAAAATTTTACATGTCATAGTAAAACAGAAATCAAACGCAAAAAAAAAAAAATCTTCTACATTATAAAAAAATTCTTACCGAAGAAAGTATCATCTAAATACTAAATTTTAAATGTGACATTTGCAGTAAATTTTAGTAAACTTTAGAATATTGTTACGATTGATATTTACAGTTAGTCTTTTTGATGATCATTTGCCAGGCTGTCACGGTGCCAGGGTGTCAAGGTGCCAGTATGACAAATGTTCAAGATGCCAGGCTGGCTTAATTTTTTTTTTGAATATATACCGAGCTGGAAATCCTAAAACAGCTCAATATCCACGCTCGCCCTCAATATATTTCTTTAATATATTCCCTTCGAAATCTTCCTCTTTACACCTTTGCGATAATTTCGATTTCGTCGTTTTAACTTTATAATCTCGCATTTGTAATTTCGTTTATAATTTTTAATTTTAATTTCCGATTTATTATTTTTTATAATTCAACTATTATGTAATAGTTTCATAATTTGCGCAGTTTTAATTAATTAGAATTTAGTACTTGGCATATATAGAGTTTAAATATTAACGTTGAGGCAACACTGATTAATTTGATAATATTAAATAAACATTCTGTCATTGTTACTTCATTTTTACTCAATAAAAAACCTTCTGCTTACATTTAAATTTATTTGTAAATACATAAACGAAAGAACTGAATACAACAATATCAATGTAAAATTTATCGGAAAATTCTAATATTGATAAATAGACAAACTGAACGTACGGATCGTTTACTCTGCTAGTTTCTATACAATATTATACCCAATTATATCTAGAAACCTTTCTATTTGTTTTGTCCAGTATATTCTATATATTTTATACTTTCACTATACAATACGTTGATTAATTATAATTAATAGTTTAAATGAACAGCTATATGTCTAATATTTGATTTCTATATAAAGTTATAGATTTTTTTTTCAGTGTTTTTTATATAATTTTAACACTTTTTTATTCATTTATCGTAAGACGGAATACCTATTTAAAAACTGCTGTAAAGTGATTAAGTATTTATATAAACTTTATTGCATTGCTATACGTATATATGGTATAACGAGTTAAGGTTATTCACCACCATCAGTAACCAGAATTAATTACCCAAAGGAGCTCTTTTAAAAGAAAGAATTTCTTTTTAGTATCATGTGTTTATAATGGGAACATTTTATTTACCAATATGCGAATTGTTTCGAATTTCTAAAAAACGAATGTTGAACTCTGCATGAGAATTTTACTCGAAGAATTATTACAGGATGACGACCTCAATCGTATCGAAGACTGGTAAAAATCAAGGAAATATTTAGCAAATTCTGATAGTTTATATACAAAGAGTGGAAGGAAACGTTACAAAAAATTTACAAATTAGCGGTTTGTGGGCAAACCCCTAATCCGATTTTGGTAAAAGTCGAAAATTTCGACGGATTTTGATGTTAGTGTTGATTTCAATTTACAAAATTTGCAAAATTTGACGGTTAACTTGTTATTTAAAAACAAATTTTTGGAGGGTCAAAAATAATTTTTTTAACAAAACGTTCTTTTCTTTTTATGAACTGTAAGCTAATGTTAAGCATTACTACAATTGAGTAATGTTAAGGAGTTTGGTAAATTTGGTAAGCTATTTATTTGTGTATCGTAACACCAGAGAATTTTTAAGGAGTTTGGTAAAGATGGTTAAGCTTATTATTTCAGTATTGCTACAATTGAGTATTGTTAAGGAGTTTGGCTATTTATTTGAGTTTGATAACAATAGAGTTCCGTTAAGGAATCGGGTAACGTTGGTAAGCTGGTTATTTAAGTATTATTACAGTCGAGTTCTTTTAATTTTCGATATTTTTGTAATCCTCCTAAGGAGTTAACATATCCCAGTTAAGTTCCGTAATCATTAATCTATCAATAGAATCATCGTAAATCATGACGGAAGTTTCATTATTCGATCCTACTTCTTCTACATTCATTTGATCAAATTTTGCATCAATTGGGATAAGTCCTCATGTAATGAATTATTCATGCTAAAATAAATTTGTTCTGATGATTGAGGGGTTGATTCTTTATTATTAATTTGATCATTCTCTATTATACTTAGTTTTGTAATAATTCCATTTATTTTATCATCTACTTTATTCATAGTCGGTCGATTATCAGGCTCGTCGTCCCAGCACTCTAGAATCAATATAACAATTTAATGATCGAAAACATATATTTTAAATTTAAATTTATAATAATATATTACCTGAATAAATTTTAACAAAATCTTCAGGAGTGCCAGGAATGATACTTTTCTGAGTCCCTATGAAATTTTATAACTAAATCAATATCGTATGGTTTATCTTCAACATGAAAAAGAAAACGTCCACTTGAAATCTCCCAAAACAACACGCCAACACTGTAAACGTCACTTTTCTCGGTTAGAGAACTGTCACTTCCTTTTCGACCACCAAATATTATTGGATCAATATAAGGAATTACACCAAAGACTTTGACTGTTGTTTAGTTGCCGCTTCAATTCTTTTCGATAATCCAAAATCAGCAAGTTTAATAATACCTTGACGAATTAATATATTTCCGGAATGCTATTTTATGTAAAATTAATTTTTAATTCTTAACTGGAATAATAAACAATATATTACCAAATCACGATGTACAATTCCTTCTTCGTGTAATCATTCCTAGTAAGCTTACCAAAATTATCTTTCAAATAGTTGCCAAGTGCACCGCCATCGGCATATTCCATTACTAGCCAATACTTTTTCAATTGAACAATTTGATTTTCTAAGTTATTTTTTTTTTATTATTTAATTATTTATAAACGAGTTAAAATTAAAATAAATAGAAATAAAAATGTCAATATATGTATTTAATAAACTTTATTATGAACATTATATACTTTGTTTTGAAGTTATCCCACAAAAGCGAATAATATTATCATGAAAATCAACTTCACGTTGAAGTTCGAGCTAAATTATAACAAAGATATATTTTAGCTTGATGATTTTATACTAAATAAACTTAAAAAAGCTTAAACGTATATTTTATAATTACCTCACGAACAATTTCTTTAACAGTGGCGTCGTTAAAATTATGAAACGCTTTTAACGCGAGAGGTTGTGGAGAACTTTTCCAATTTGCACGATAGACTTTTCCAAATCTGCCAGTACCTATCATTTGAACATTGCTAAAATGTTTGTATTCGTAGTATTTAATATATTTTCTTGAGATTGCATCTTCAATCCAATTAACAGACTCATTCGAATTATTGGTATTTTGCATTTTGATTTTTAATTTTGTTTATAGCAGAAATAATAAAAATTCTTGGAGAAAAAGCAAAAAAAAAAAAAAAAATGTAATGAAACGTAAGTCAAGTTTAATAATCCGGTGCAACAGTAAAAAATTTTTGCGTCCATGATTTTCCAAAACAATTTCCAAAAAAAAAAAAAATATTTAGTTTCCAATTTTAAATTGTATGACTGTTATGCATCCTATACCTTGGCCATAAAGAATAAAGCCTTTTGTAATACAAAAAATTTCATTTATTTAATTCATACCTATATGTTTACTGGTTCTAAGGCAGAGATTCGTACTGCGGTACGATCTGCAAGATTACCAGAATTTTATTTTAAAGAAAAGCATTGCTACATAAAAATCAAAATAAAAAAAAAGTAACTTAAATACAAAATAATAATTTATTTTAAAAAATGAATTTATCCTTCAATAATTTATTTTTTTTTTATTGAAATATAAAGAAATATCAATAAAAAATTTTTCATTTAAAATTTAAATATTTAAAATAATTCACCGCGGTATCAATGTCTACTAGGGATGCTAATGGTCACGGTCATGACCGACCGTTGACCGACTTTCGACCGAACTTTACCACCCCTAATCTCTACGAATCTACGAAAGAATCGTACCGTATCGTATTGATATACTACCGGTACGAAATTACTGTACGATTCAAATTTCGCGAAAAGTACCATACCGGTTTTCTATCTACCCGAATCGATTAATCGAATCTATTTTTTAGTAGCTGTTATAATATAAATTCTTTGAACTAAGATTTGAGAAAAATAAAAGCGCGAAATGGTCAAAAAAAAAATTCGAAAAGCTTAAAAAAAACAACCTGTGATAATGAAGGAAACTATAAAGTAAAAAAAATAAAAAAATAAAATAAAAAATTAGGCGGGGGCAAATGAAAATTATTATAACCTGCCAGCATTAGTTTTTTCAAATTGATTTATTTAAACAAGCATTTAAAAATAAATTTAACAATAACGTAAAGCATTTGTCCAGTCTTATTTTGATGTATAAGAATTGCTATATTATCATAAAATTTGTGAACAAGTAAGTTTTTGTTGATGGATAATAATTATTTTTAACTATTAATTTTTACTTGCGATAAAATTCAAATTTAAAATATTTAACGTTCAAACTTCAATCTTGACATTTTTTAAATCGAAGCAACCGACTCTAGAAAAGAGGAAGGAGTAAATGAAACGTTTACACCATACTTACATAACATACTTGATAAATTTAAATACAAAGGAAAATAACAGATTGAGTTTGATTATAGTAAATATAACAATTAGCGTTAATTCAACCGAAATTAACTATTTTTCAAGATAATTAAAACTTCCAAACCTTAATATAACCAAAACGTTTTTAAAAATGAATCCTAACCGCAGTATTTACTACTATAATAGTTCCTATTCAAATAAAATGTTACTGAAAGTCTAACGAAAAGCCTGGTCAATGCTGTGTATCCTTCATTAAATAAAATTTTATTGGAAGGATTTTTCATGTAAATATGTTTTTTAGTTTAATTATTTTTTTTTTGTAATTTTAAATTTATTGTATTCAAAAATATTTGATTTTCTTTTAGAACATTTTTTTGTATAAAAAAAAAAGACCTTAATCAAACATTATATTTTCATATAATAAGAAATCTATTACAAAATCAATATTCATTAAATTTCTGGCAAATGAAGACATAATTACCAAATTTTTTTACCCTATATAATAATAATAAAAATAAAATGACAATTCAAATACGGAAACCTAAAAATTGAAAGTTTGTAATCGATATCATTAACCAATATCGATATGTTGTTTTCACACCTTTTATTTGTGTTTTAGAGAGCGATAATAGAAAATGGTATATGAATGGCAACAATGTAGAACTCTCCAATAATAGGTAATAATATTTGGAAAAGTCAATTTGATTTCGATAAGTTGAATTGATTCACATTACTCATATCACGGATGTATTTTGATATTTATGCAGAAACTCGACTTTGAATAACGGATATTTCTTCCCATTAGAGATTGGAAAGGATTTCATTGTAATGTGTTGTTAGTTAATAAATAAAATGAGGAAATCTAAAATCAAATCAATTTCTGGTTTCTAACGTAAATAATATTATGATTTAACAAAGAATCTTTTATAACTTGATTTATTTCGATTCCAGTTCTGTTTGTTAATTAAAACTATTTTCATTTTTAAACCACCACAAAAAAGCGCTATTAGAGAAAATATTACAATTGCTGACGCGACGAAACCACCAACACCTCAACAACAGAAGCGTCCTCCTCCTCCTTCCAAAGGTAAGAACAAATTAACTGCTGCTGAAGAACACGGCCGAACCACGCTAAAATTCAAAAGCAAAATACTAAATTTTCAAATACATTCGACTCCTATATAGTCACACCCCTCAGGATTATAAAAATACTAAATGATGTGACTAAAGAAAGTTTTTTTTAATAAGTTTATTAGTATCCTGGGCCAATGTAAGTGTGCTTATAAAGGGATGTGACTACATATAGGGTGACTATAAAAAGGTCGACTATACTGTACATCTATTATCGTTATCAGCTCTATAAGTTTTGGAGCAAAAAAAATGATTAAATACTTCATGTGGTTGATAAAAGAAATCTATAGATGACATTCGTAATTCTGTTAAAGTACAAATTCAGTCAAAGATTATGAAATTTTTATATTAAATTTTATTGGGTTAATAACTGTCGAAGCTTATCGAGACTGTTAAAATTATCTTCAAAAAGTTTTGACTTTTTACCAAAATTGATTTAGGGTTTGCCCTGAAACCTTATTCTTTGATTAGTAGATTTTAATGAATTCTTTCTTTATTAATAAAATTTTATTTATTTAATATGATTACATTTGTTTAGCTGATTATGATATATAATTGATTTTTAGGATTTTGCAAAGAGTTAAACTTCTGATTATCTCAATTTGCATTTCGTTTATTTGAAATATATATAAATTTAACTCATTATAGAGATTTTAGTCAATATTGAAATTCTTAAATTTATATTGGAAATATCATTTTTATGTAAATTTTTTATTTCATAATTCTGTATATAATACAATAATCTAATTTAATTTATTAATAATATTTTAAATTATAAATGTAAGAAGTGAAATCTTACATACAAAAAGCAGGTTAAATAAACTGAAAATAAATATCGTCAAAGTTATATAGCAAAACTAATTCAACCATATAATTCTAGGAGTTAAGATAAAATTGCGAGCAAAAAAATGAATAATATAATATTTAATGATGATGAGTAAGTAAATAATTCTGATTTAATAAGTTTGACACTATAAATTTTATAACGAAATAGATAACTATAATGTAATATTAAATGGATATGGTCAATAATGTCGAATCATTTGAAAAATTTTGAAGAAATTGTTTAAAATTTATAGTAGTAGATCATACAATTCATCCTGCTAATGATCATAATAGTTAAACTACTAACTATATCATCAACTGTGTTTTCTTATTTGTTTCTAATTCTTCTACATTAAATTATTTGAGATAATTTTCTATGTAATGAATTGTTAATACTAGAATAATATTCTGAAAATTGAAATTTGATTCATCATTTATCATTTGATAATTTCTATTTTCTATATTTTTTGTAATAATTGTATTTAATTCGTTAACTAGCTGGACGATTGACTCATTATCTCAACACTCTATAATCATATAAATTATTTAAAGATCGAAAGCATATGGGAAGTAAGCTATTAAAATCACGTTACAGATCATATGATTTACTATGTTCGTAAATTGATTTTAATAGCAAACCTCCCATATGGTTTCTATTCTTATGAAAAAAATATTATATTTACAATATAAATTTTTACATAATCTCCAGATGCATACGGAACGATCTTTCTCTAAGATATATAGTTAAATCAATGTTGCAAGCTTCACCTTCAACATAAAAGGGGGATGTCTGCTTTAAACTTCTATAACACAGTACATCAATATTGTAAACACTCAGTAAGAGTATTTTAATGCGATGCACTTTCACTTTTTTTTCGTCCATCACATATTTTTGAATCAAAATAATAAAGACTTTGGACTAGTATTTAGTTGCCGCTTCAATTCTATTCGATACTTCAAAATTAGCAAGCTTAATAATATCTTGTCGAATTAATATGTTAAATTAAATATTTAATTCCATAATAAATTTAATAAGATAGATATGATGCAATTTATCAAAATCATGATGAATAATACTTCTTTATATAACATAACACTGTGCTAGTCAACAGGAATTCAAATTTGTATTTATAATACCAAGAAAACATTAACATTATCCTTCAAATTATTCAAGTGTATCATTATATTATTGTTCCAAATTAACAATAAGAAAATCATTCATTTAGAAAGATTAAATTATCATTTCAAATGCTCTATAAAAAAAGAAATACATAATTTGTACATAAGATATACATAAATTGTAGGTATACATAAAACATATATAAAAAATATACAAAAAATGTCATAAGCTTTTTTTGCACATTTTATATATATTCTATGTATATTTTATGTATACCCTACAATTTACGTATATCTTATGTACATATGTATTTTCTTTTTTTATAGAGATGAACGATAAGAAAATTGTCTATTTGGAATGACATTTTTTTAAATGATATAAATTCTCATATCATTTAAACGTCATTTAAATTAATTTGCAAATTTGTCAAATGACAATGTCATTTGACATCACTGGCCAGTACCGATCTCTTAAATATAGCTAAAATATTTTATTCGTAACTTGAAATATATATTCAAATCAATTAATCTACATTTGTATATAATCAAATAATAAAAAAAAGTGAATAAAATTAATTATATAACGTTATTCAAGTTTCTAAGCCATTTCTCCAAAAATAATTAACTGTAAAAAAGATAGTTTATAAAAGCCTTGTTATCTAATGAATAGCCATATATAATTTTAATAATTTGATTAAAAAATTAAATAAGTTAAGCTACATATTAGGGAGTTTGGATCTCCAAGTATTAAATTTAAATACCATACATTTTATATATTTTATTTCTAACGAAATTTATAATGACTGTTATAAGATCATCTAGTATTATTATTTTCATATTCTTAATTTCCAAGGATAACAAAAAAGTGCCATTATAATTACTATGAAGTTTTTAAGGAGATATGAAAATAAAATTCAGTTCAACAGTAGAAAATAATGAAATAAGAATTGGAATCGATTCTATCAAAATCGAATGAATGTTTAGTTTTGTAACAGAACAGCCTAAATAGAATATAAAGTAAAAAAACTCTCTTTTGCTTAACCCTCATTTTGGATAATTTTATATTCATCATTTGAATTATTAAATTATTAATTAGAAAGTTAATTCTAAAAAAGAAAATGATATTAAAGAACAATTTAGAAAAAAAAACCCAAGTCACTTGGAAATAATATCAAAGCATTAGAACAAATTAATAAGAAGAAAAGTTAGAGATTTAGAAAAAACTGAAGTCAAGCAATAAAACTATTAGTTTAGAAGAAAAGTTTAGAGAACGAGAGAAAGTGTCCTAAGACAAGCAAGAAATTATTATTGAACTGGAAGAAACCTTAATTATTCTTATATTTATTTTATTTTATTTTTTTTATATTGTACATTGAAAATCCATTTATAGAAACAAATAATTACATTTTAATTGATCTCGAGAAAATTGGTTTTATGAATAAAAATGATTTATCTATATATATGTAAAATGAAAATAGGAAATATGTCAATATTAATAACAATAATAATGCGAAGATGTTGTGATGACTCGGATTTTTTTTTTTAGAAATGTGACAAGAATGGTATCATAAAAATAAATTTATTTATGAACTGCAATTGGAAATTACATTTATTTTATCGAGACAAAGAAAAATATTATTATTGTTTTAAAAATAAATTTTTTTATATATTAGAGGTTTTTATTTATTTTTGATTTGATTTATTTACAAATAAATTTATTTTTTTTTTAGAGAAATTTCAATAAGATATCTTTGGAAATGAAATGAATATTTCACGATAAAAAATTTGCATAATTTCAAAACTAAACAAAAATTTACAATTTTCTTTTTTGATTCATAAATTAATGTATTTACAATTTTTCAAACATCTGAAAGATTCAAAGCTTGACTTCTTTACTTTCAATAATAGATTTTTATCATATTAAAAAGTTTAGTAGTCTTACTTGAGAAACAGCAATTTGAGGTTCGATAACTCGCATCTCCACTTTCTTCATTCGACATTTTGATAGCAAATAAAACTTTATTAAATATAAGGTTCTTAAATTAAGTTGTCCGTTATTTTATTCTTAGAATTGAAAAATTTAACGTTTATTTAATATAAATCTTTTAATTTTTTTAAAAGAAAAATGTTTAGAATTATTAAATTTTAAATATTCAGGACCGATATCTGTTAAGGAATCAGGTAAATTTGGTAAACTGCTTATTTGAGTTTCATAGCAATAGAGTTTCGTTAAGGAGTCAGGTAAAGTTGGTAAGCTATTTATTTGAGTATTACGACAATCGAATTGTGTTAAAGAATCAGGTAAAGTTGGTAAGCTATCTATTTGAGTATTACTACAATTGAATATTGTTAAGGAGTTTGGTAAAGTAGGTAGAATAGCGATTTTAGTGTTATTACACCAGAGTTTCTTTAAAGAGTCGGGTAAAGTTGATAAGCTATCTATTTGAGTATTACTACAATTGAATATTGTTAAGGAGATTGGTAAAGCAGGTAGAATAGCGATTTTAGTGTTATTACACCAGAGTTTCGTTAAAGAGTCGGGTAAAGTTGGTAAGCTATTTATTTGAGTATTACTACAATCGAATAGCGTTAAAGAATTGGGTAAAGTTGGTAAGCTATCTATTTGAGTATTACTACAATTGAATATTGTTAAGGAGTTTGGTAAAGTAGGTAGAAT